TTTGTATGTTATCTATGGAAGCAGGGTACTGTGCTGTGGTCCTCTATTCACTAGCTGGCAGCACTTATATACTCACCACCTGTCTCCTTTCCCACTGTCTGCCTCCCGTATGTCCTTGCTGTCCTTGGCAAATGGAGCCTATTCTTAGGTCTCTGGAATCTGAATGAGAATGCTATCATTTTAAAATCCAAAATGGCTGCCGCTTGTAAACCTTTAAAATGGCTGCGCCCTCAGTCACTTTACATATCCAAAATGGCCACTGTATGTAAACAATCAAAATGGCTGCGCCCTCCGGACAGCTGAAAGTCCACAGCTCAGATTGTCTTCCTCCTTGCTGTTTCCCTTCCTATTCATAGGCCACCAGCGCAGTCGTCCCTGCAGCTATTGGTGACCAGGGCTGATCTTTAGGTCAATTCTCAAGTCCCAGCACCACTTGGGAATATTTAGGCTGTTGGTCCTGTCAGAGTAGCTGATAGTCCACTACTCTGACCATCTCCACACTCACTGTTTTCATTCAAGTTTTCCACTAGTTTGTGCCTAATCCACTTCCTGTATGCTTCCTTTCAAAGCTCAGGGCTCCAAGATTATCTTCTATATCTCTGTCAATTGGTTTCTTTTTAGTTTGTTGAAGAGAATCTGTGGAGCTTGCCTGCCTATTGCCCCATCTACCAGAAGTCCAGCAGTAAATCTTTATGGAAGTAGATTGCGCCATCATCTTCTCTCCATGGAGCAGATGGTGGGTTTGAACTGTCAACTGTCTGGTTAGCAGTCAAATGCCTTAGGCACCACACTAACCAGAGTTCCTTAACAAGGTATAAACCAAAAACCAAACCAAACTCACTGCCATTGAGTCGATCCATATTGACATAGTAAGTAAATGAAAAACTCAATGAGGAGAAGAGGAAGCTCTTTATGACAGCAGAATGCAATTAATAAATGTTGTTGGAATGGCAGTTAGGAAAAGCACAATTTGGCCACCGTCAATAACATCAGAGGAATGACTTCAAGCAAGAACACGTCAGTGGATACTAAAACCAGAGAGCAAGTGAGATGAGGAGAAGCGGAGTCTCAAAGCCTCTCTCCAGAAAACATCAATTACAAAGAAGAAAATTTAAGGCATTTCACAGTGGTGAAGCCCTGTAACATGATCTCACATTAACCGGTCAGGGTGCACTGAAATGCACTCAGCATCGCTCTCGTGGTCTTCTAGCCCCGACTTTGCACAGCCTGAGTCTAAATCTTGCCTAGTGAGGAAACATTAGGCAAACCCAAAATGAAAGACTTCTACTAAATGACTGGCCTACAATTCAAATATATTAAGGCTGTAAGATTCAGACAAGACTGAGGACCTGGGCCAGACAGGAGGTGAGGCTGGTGCTGTGTGACTTGGAGTCTGAACCTTCTGCTATACAGAAAGGGCCTTACTGGATGATGGGCAAAAACTGAATAGGGTCTTTGAGATAAAGGGTATCTAGGAATTCTCTATAAATTTTTGAAAGTATTAAATTTTTGGAAAAATAAAAAGCTAAAAGGAAGGAAGGAAGGGAAGAAAGGGAAAAAGGAAGGGAGAGAGGGAGAAAGGGAAAGACCCAAGAAGTTCTCCTTTGCAGACCGACGCCCCCACCTGATAGACTCCTCACCCTATCATACACACGGCATCTGAGACTTCAAACCAAGGGCCATGCCACTCCCAACTTTGGAGGATAGAGGCTCAAGGGTGAGGGGCAGGAGGCATTACTCAGACCGCAGGGGTGACCAGAAGACACGGAACAGGGTTCAACGGTGCAAAGGGATGAAGATGTTTGGCTTCAGCAGCCGACAACCTAGACCAAACCCAGAGGTGGCAAAGCATACCTCCCTGTGGGGCTGTGCAGGTCAGGAGGTGGCGATGTTAAACACCACCCTCTCACCTGCTGCCACACTGGGAGTGCTACTTGCCAGATGAGTGCCCAAGCACAGCCAATGGACCAACTCCCAAGACCTTTAAAAACCAAGCTCCTCTGCAGGACGGGCAAGGAGGGGGCTCAGAATAGAGCCAAGTGGGATTACCTTGTTTGAAATGGTGCCATCAAATCAATCCTGAAAGTCGTAACGACTTATCTGGTCCTTCAACATTGCCACCCTGCCAGAAGATGGTATGTTCAGGGCTGCAAACTGGTTTACTCTGGTTTGACTCCTGCTGAGAATCTGTCTCTCTATCCCGATACACTAAATCAGAATCTACATTTTTAACAAGGATCTGTAAGAATGTTAAAGGGGGTTGAACCGGAATGAACTGGTTTGAAGTGCTGGCCATGTGTTTGAAGTTGACAATGAATTTATATAAGGTAGGCTGGCCTGCAGAACGTGGGTTGTTAAGCGCGTTCATTAAATCTTTTATGAGGACTCTCAGACTTTCAGGAAATCTTGGGAGTTGTTCTCTAGTGAAAAGACCAAAAAAGGAATCAAGCTGTTTTCCTTAAAGTTCAAAAGCTGTGGTCAAATATATTTCTCTGTACAGATCTAAATACTTTCAGTCAATGTGGGAATTTAATACACAGGGAAGGGCTGGAAAGCGGCACCAACAGCAGTTACCTTTATGGTCAAGTGCTCGACCACTAGCAGATAGGTTGGTGGTTGGAACCCACCCAGAGGTGCCTCAGGAGACCGATCCAGTGATCTGCTTCTAAGGGGTCACAGCCTCGAAAACCCTAAGGAGCAGTGCTACTCTATACACATGGGGTTGCACGAGTTGGAAAGGATGGCAAGGAACCACCACCACCACCTTTGGGGCAGCAGAATGAAGGGGGAGGGGGTCCTTTTCACTCTAGGCATTTCTGATTTCCTTTGTAATAATATGAATGCATTTACTTACGTAAAATTTTGAGAAAATGTGTAACATATCTCTTTATCATTTTTGTTTTTTAACTGAACTTGAACTCCTTAGCCAGGCACTGCTTCCAGAAACAGAAACTGAGGGGCTTTTTAAAGCCTTAGCCCCCTGGATCTTCCACAATGAAGAAGGTTTGGAAGCAAAAACTTAGGAATGACAAAGACTCTGAATTCCACATGCATGCTCCTGGTAGGGAACTTGCTTTACAGGCCTGGCTGCATCAGTGCAGGAAACCCTCTCAATTAGGGGCCAAGCAGGGCACAGGAGAGGCTGGGGGCTTACCTGGTTCCGAGTCAGAATTGCCTGCAGATGATTCACAGAAGGTTGATGGCATGAAGACATTGTTTTTTGATACTGTTGGTAAGGTGGTGCAGGCAGGGGAGGGGACAAGAGGGAAAACGAGCGTAAGAGGAGTAGACACGCACCAGGCCACCTTCCCCACCTTGGAGTCCATGCTTCAGCCCACCGTGGGAGGGGGCAGCCTATGGACAGGGCAGTAGGGACTTTTCTGACAGAGGCACAAAGGTGGGACTGGATCCAGCAGCACGGCCTCTCCCCATCTGATGCCTAGCAGTCAACTCCTGTCTGCTGCTGGCTGCTTGTCTTGTCCCTAAGCCACTGGCTTCTCCTTAACCCTCTGGGCCTCTGCAAGGGCCGCCAGGAGGGAAGAGATCCAGTGGGTATTCCAAGTCTCACTTGAGTCTGTGCCTTAGCCTTGTTCCTCTGGCAAGTCCGGTGCTGCTGGTGGGTGCTGTTCCCCGCCATGTCCTTGCCCCAACCCTGTCACCTGTTTCAGACCAGGGGGGGTACTCACTTATTCAAGGCCCCCCACCCCCCAACATCAACTGTTTTCTAGGTGCAATCAGGCCAAGAGGCTCCCGCAAATGAAATAACTCAGAGCTGGAAACCTCATTCTGAGAGAAGTGATGACAGAATGCAACTGTGTGGTGTCAGTGGAGACCGAGAACTGTGTGTCAGGTTCTTGGAACTACTTCTCTCCCATCTCGTCTCCCAAGTACCCACAGCCTGCAGGCAAGGTGGGTTTCCCGCAGAGCCAGACAGAAAGCTGTTTGGTGGTCCTCTGCCCCTTTAGGCCATGGCTCTGGCACTAAGTTTTCTCTGTACTCCCCCTGTCCTATAATACAGCAAGCAGGAAGGTGTAACATCCATAACCAGGGAATGGAAGCTCCCTCCTCCCGTGGGAACAACTGCCCAAGAGCACAGGGGCCCCTGGAAAAGGCTGTCAGTTGTAACCAGACTGCAAACTGTCTGGAAGGTTCCCTATCACTAGTCAGTGAATTAGTGTAGCTGCTCAGGGGCCTCTTAGGGAGTTGTATCCTCTCTACCCAGACTCCCACCACCCAGGCTGGCTGTTGTTCCGACTGTGCACTCGGACCAAATCTCACACCCAGAGCCTCCAAGCCCTCAAGGCCCACCCACCTCTAGAGTCCTGGCCTGGCTTCCCCTTCAAGGACCCATTAAATGTTCTCCTCAGGGAGAGCTGCTGGGCTTACTATCTGCCATTCTAGGCTCACAGCTGGCGGATAAAGAGCAAAAGGCACCACCCAGTCGACGCAGACAGTTTGCCTCAGGGAAGAGGAAGTGTAGTTAAGGGTGTGTCAGAGTTACTACGGGGCTCTGCAATGTGCACCCTCCTCTCCATTTTCAAGGCATGATCTAGATTCATCTTCCCTAGTCCACTGAACCATAGCACTCTGTCAGCGTCCCTGCTCCCAGGTGGGAACTGAGCATTATGCTCTCGGCATGCTCTGACCTCCCTGCATGGTATCATGCTGCATAGTGAGGGTCAGTGAAGACAGGGAGACCCCCGACAAGACAGACACAGTGGCTCAGACGAGGGGCTCAAGCATGGCGAGGACTGTGAGGATGGCATAGGATTGGGCCGTGTTTTGTTCTGTTGTACGCAGGGTTGCTACGAGTCAGAGCTGACTCGATCGCACCTCACAACAACTGACCTCATTCCTGATGGATAGCACGTGCCAGACTGATTCTCACTGGCGACAGTGGATTAGGCAGGAGACAGAGGTTGGACAGGAGACGCTGACAGGAACAGTTGGCTCATAAGCATAAATGCATTTACTGTCTAATAAAAGTCTGCAACTTTTACCTGACTGTGAAGGTGGGAACTGGGTTAAAGATGATGTTCTTTCTCGCTTGACAGGCGGGCAGTAATTTCCATCCTCTCGGTCAGAGTCTACAGAAAACGATGAGAGGGGTCAGGTCGCTCCTACTTTTACACCCGATGGTCAGACGCTTGCAGGATGGCCTTACCTTCTCCCTCTTCTGGACTGGAGCCGCCAGCTGACCTCTGAAACAAGAGCAGAGTCAGAATGATGAGAGTGAGGTGGGCCGCCAGGAGGTAGCCCACCGGGAGGCCCAGAATGAATGGATTCTGAAGGGGCCACTGAGGACTACCTCCCTGAGCTCAGCAATCCCAACTACAGACCAAATTTCACCCTACAGCTCAAACATCACCTCAGATAAACCTTCTGCATCTGGCCTATGAAACCATGTGCCAAGAATTCCACCTTAGAGAGCATTTACCACATCTGGATGGGTTTCTCTGTCTCCACAGGTTAGGACTCATTGGCGTGCCACCCCCAAACCCAAACCCAGTGAAATATTATCTGTTTGCCAAGAGCTGGAAGGCAGTCTGCTCTCCTGGGAACAGCAGTGGGCTTGTTTAGAATGGTCCCATAACACCGGGCCATAGCGGCTTCCTTTCCTTGCCCTGGCATATTCTACTGGGCTGGGGGAGAACTTGGGTGCTTTGGCCCAAAGTCCACCACAAAGCTTCAGAGGTGAAACGGCAAAGATGAAATCCAACAACGGTCACCCAACAGTCACTGGGCCAACCAGTCATGGCTTCAAGGTGGTGCCTGAAAGACTTCCCATGAACAACCTGGATCTCAGAATGTGAACATCTAACAGTTAAAGGCACTGTGATGAGTGCCCCTCCCCAGAGATGATCAGTCCCTCCAAAGAACTTGTGGTTCATTAGAACTGAGCAGGCTCCGAGGTGTCATCTGCCCCCTCAAGGACATTCCATCTGGGAGCAAGCAGCAGAGCAGATTTTCTAATTTTCCATAAGGCACCTTGGGGGTGGGTTGATTTTGCTCCACGAGGACCACCTGCCTCGAGGAACTGGAGGATGAAGTGAGATGATGTATGTGAAAGTGCTCTGTACACTCCAGGCTGGTGGGCAAGAGCACAGTAACTGCTGTAAATGACAAAACCACAGCTTCTGGGAGCCAGCACCTCCTACAGGAGGAGTGACACTCGCTTTCTGGAAAAGGCCGAGTCAATCGTTGTGGCTTTATGGGTCACAACCAATTTCTGTCCAACAGTCTTTGCTTTGGTACTTCATAACCTTTAAAAATGTAAACACTGTTCTTAGATTGCAGTACAAAAATGGAGCTGGTTGACCTTGGTCCTGAAGGCTGCTGAGAGGCGGGGTCAGGCAGGTCGAGAGGCTGCAGATGTCCTGGGTGCAGCCAAGGGCAATAGGGGAAGCAAAAGCTGTATCCTTGGCACTTTGATTCTAGGGGCCAGAGTCTGGGCCAGGTCCGGCAGCAGAGCTGTGTCACCAGCTCACCATGAGCCAACAGTTCTCCCCTTCTGGATCACCCTTTTTTCCGCGGACAGTGGCAACTGGCCGCTACAGGAGCTGTGCACCTTCACACCTGGCACAGGTGAGAGTCCGAGGCCCACCTGGCTGCTGCAGGAGACTCAGGTTCTGGCCATCCCTGGAGCCCAGCTGCCCGGCCCTGCTAGCAGCAGCAGCTTTGAGAAATGACACATTCTCCCTGCCCCTCTTGCTCACACACTCTACTCCACAAGACCCTAGCAACTCCCAGTTCTGTGCCCGATCCCACATGGACCCATACCCTTTGGGGTGGGGCTGGGGAAAGAGACTGAGAATCTAGCCTTGGCCTGTCTCCTTATCTCAGGCCCCACATGACATGCAATCATCCAGGACTCCTGAATAAACCACTTACACACAAGACACCTGTCACCTGGTGTCTTCTCCCAGGACACCTTGGCTTCATGCACCCAAAAAGCTGTAGGCCCACCCAGTCCCTCTGCCACATCTAGCCACCCTCCCTGTAGCCCACTCTTCATGGTACAGCCTTCACAAGCCTCCCTTTTCCTCCCAGCCCCTCACTAAGCAGCCCGGAGGTGCAGAGGTAAAGAGCTCACTGTTAACCAAAAGGCTGGCAACTCGAAGCCACCCAGCAGCTCTGTGGGAGAAAGGCCTGGTGATCTGCAACCATAAAGTCTATACCTAGAAAACTGTATGGGCAGTTCCTACTCTCTATGTGGGGTCGTTACAAGTCAGAATCAACTCAACAGCACCAACAAGTCCTTCACAGGGGCCCATCACATTCCAGGAAGCTTCCTATAGCTCTAGGCACCAGGCATTTTTGTCTCTTAATTCAACAAGCATTTCGGCTGTACATAAACCTCGTATGTGGCCTCCAAAGTCCTCTGAGACCTGCCCTGTAATTCTACCCTGTAATTATACATCTGTCCAGTTGCATGATCTGAGTCAGAGCTCCCACCAAACTCTTCTTTCCAGGAGGGAACTTGTCTTTGGCACACACAAGAGCTCACTGGGCATGTGTTCATGGAGGGGACATGTCATCCCAGGCTTTCTGCCTCAGTGCCACTGACCAATGTCCCTCCCCAAGCTAATGACCCTGGAAACTTCTAGCCCAATAGAACTTTCTGCTTCCTCTCCTGCCCTCAAGCAGACACTCCACCCCCGACAGTCAACCTACACTTGCTTGTGGCTCAAAGCGCCCCCCAGTGGCATCATCCTCCAGATCTCTAAACTCAGTCACTTGCTAGTCTTGAAAGCAGCACCTCCCCAGCCCCTTTCATCAGGCTTCTTCCCCAGCTCTGCTCTCCTAACCACAGTCGCCAACTGTTGGATTTATCTGTTAGCGTCTGCCCCCCACACTACAGGGAGAGCCCTGCCTTTTCTGTTCCCAGCTTACACCCCTAACACCGACAGCAGCTTCTATACCTACGTGAGTTTGGGCCATGTTTACTGCAGAGTGCAGTCTGTGTCCTTGCCATAACCTCTTTAGGAGTCTTGACAAGTGGGGTGCTTGACCAGACAAGATACAAGTACTTGACCTCTGACCTCAGAAGACCCTCAAATCTGTACCCAAGTCCCTTCTAAGAACCAGTCCACAGAAACGTGGTAGCCCCCTGGTCCCAGGGAAGCTAGGGTGGCAAGCTCTGGGAAGGATATCCAGGACAAGTCCAGCGGGGGCATTTTCAGGTGCTGTTCAACCTCGGTGGTATCTGAAATGGTCAGCTAGATGGTGGGAGAAACTGCCACCAGCTGCGACAAAGTCACTCCTGCTGGGCTAGGCTGGCCCTTCTAGAAGTCCTTAACCACCACCCACCCACATGGGAACAGCTGAGCCCTTTGGAGCCATCAGCTTCTCCATTCCCTCCACACTTGCTGGGAACCCCCCTCTTTTTGGGAGGTCTGGGCTTGTCTGGTGTTCCTCCAGAGTGGGAAAAGTTTCAGGGTACAGGAGCTCCCCTTCAAGATAGCCCTGGCTCCACATGTGGCATGTGCCAGCCCCACAGAGCAGCCTGGTGGTTGGGGCCCCTTCCATGGCAAGGCCATTTGGGGGCTGCCCCTACCCTCAAGCATGGGGCTTGTCTGGGACATGGTGGAGTCGGCCTTGCAGCTCAGAGCTCAGGAGCCACTGCTGCAGGGAGTGGTGGCTTGGCAGGGGGTGTGTGTGCTGCGGCTGGCTGGCTGGCTGGAACACACTATGACCAGTACCTGCTCGGACACCACAGTAACACAACCCATGGGAAAACTTAAATAAAGTAGCAAAAGAGTAAGAAAAAGACCAAAAAGTATGAAGGCAAGAAGTAGCCTGTGGAAGGCGGCAGTGCCCTGGTTTGGGCAGCCCCTCCACCGCGGCCCCCGTGGGAGATCTAAAGTGTGTTTACCACACCCAGGACTGACTGGCAGTCAACCCTGCCAGTTCAGTTAAGGCAGGCAGTGGCAGTGGGGTTTCTTCCCTTAGGAGCCACCAGGACCTTGGGTGAAGCGGTTCCATTCTGTGAGGTGTGTGAGCCCCTGGGGCCAAGTATAAAATCAGAGGTCACACATGTAACTGGGCTGGGACTGTGGACATGGGATGTTTCTGTTCTTTGTATGAAGGAGTGGTGAAGACAATGGCTACTTCTATGAAGAATCTGTCATCCCCTCCACCTCCACAAGGAAAAAAAAAAAAACCACATGGCTCTTGTGAGGCCGCCTGGCACAGCCGAGGAGAGTGCTGCCAGGCTGGGAAAAGGCCCACAGAGACCACAGACCCCACACTCCACTGGGTCCCAGTGGCAGGTGGAGCTGGATGTTGTGTTCCTGAGCAGAGTACACAGACAATAGTGAGTGGAGAGTAACGTCACTGCCTTCCCGACACCCCAGGGAAAGACCAGAAAGCAAGACCATGTCAGAGAAGCTCTTTCCAGAAAATGCCATACACCACCTGGCAGGACTGAGCCTCGATGGTGGAGGTTTACATGGCCCAGTGGAAGTCGGGTTGGGGTTGCTGTAGGAGAATGGGGCCAAGACCTGTTCACTTGCTCTTATCACCTAATGGTGGCTGAGGCTACCAGCTCAGAAATTCTTACTAAAAAGTTAGACACTAAAAAAGAGAGAGAGAAGGGCAGCTGCAAAAGCTCTGCCAGCTGAGGGGTGGCAAGGCCAGATTCTGCACAGGGGTTCGAAGTTGACGGGGGCCGTCCAGCCAGAGAGGCCCATTCCAGAATCTTCCTAAGCTACCAGGTAGCTTAGGAATAAATCTATTTTAGGCTCCAATCCAGGCCAGTCCCACCTGGCTCACAGGAAGGAGGAAGCACCGAGATGCCTGCTTTCTTAGTTGAAGCTGAGAACTTAATCTGGATGTGGTTTGGTCTTCTTCAAGCTGTCTTCCTAGAGCCAGGAAGTCTGCTACATAGAGACCTTTTCCTGATACTGAGCCTTCAATGGCCAGAGTTCTGATGAGACTGAAAGACGATAAGGCCTTTTGTAAGCAACAATGCAGCAAGCCGCTATTTATCATAAAGATCTCTTGGCTTTACACTACCCCTGGGAGCAGGGGACAGAGAGCAGACAAGACGTGATGGATGAGGCCCACTGGGTAGCGTGCAGGCAGTTTCCTGAGCTCCACTATGGCACAGAGTAGGCTCCAAAGTTCTGATGCAAAGGACACCAGTCAGAAGAAGTCAAACACAAGCCCTAGCCCAAGAAGCAGCTTGGATCTGGTTCCATCTGATTTGATTTATGGCCTAATTGACCTAAAAAAAGTTTACTTTGTCTTCACCAGGCGGAATCAGTAGAGAAAGCCAATTAGCAGGCAGGAAGCCTTAGCAACCAGCCAGGCTTTTCACTTTTCTTGTGGAGCTGGCCTCCAGCAGCTCAGAACTGTCACCAAGTGGTGTCACAGTGGAGCTACCTAGGACTTTGGGAGAGTGGGAGTAGGAATGTTAAAACTAAAGACTGCACGTATACATGTATGTTACACCTCAGAAACCAAAGGAAAACGAAACGAAACGTGGCCCCAGCACAGCACTGGTGCACTCATGCCCAGCTTCCCAATTCCCCAGTGCTGTTTTCTCCCATGGTGCCTGAACAAGCCATCCTGAGGTTCCCTAACATTTCTTAGGAGCCCTGGTGGTGCAGTGGTTGGTTAGCTTGGCTGCTAACCAAAAGGTCAGTGGTTCAAACCCGCCTAGCAGCTTCACAGGAGACTGCTCCTATAAAGATTTTAGCCTAGGAAATCCTATGGACAGTTTTACTCTGTCACATTAACGAGTTGGAATCGACTCAATGGAAGCCAGCAATAATAAAACAATTATTGATCTTCACTTGCTGTTTGTGGCCTGCTTGAATTTCTTGTGCTTATAGCCTCTGCCCAAAGTTCGTAAGAACCAAGACATTGAGTTCCAGCAGACACGGGCTACCATGGGCTAAGTGGACTGCAGCGAGCACAGGCTGCACAAAGGCTGCTGGCTGCTGGGGCACTTCCTGCACAGGCCCCTTAGCGGGGTCAGCAGCCAGTCCAACCCAGTCGGGCCTGAAATGCTGGCGTGCCTCTGGAAGAGCTGTCATTGGAAAATGTGTGCCTTGCATGTCTGCTACTCTCATTTAAACTCTAGACCACTTCAGTTGAAGATCCCTACATGAGATTTTCTTTTTTTCAAACTAGGCCACAAGCAGAATGTAAGAGCCTAGTCTCTAGGGGGCGGATCCAGTGCTCCTAGAGAGCTGGTAACAGAGAACTGAGATCATGATTTCCTGTGTTTGCAAAGGCCAAAGACATAGTAATATGAATTCCTGACTCAGAAGACATTTCTAGGACTTGCTCTGCCCCCTAGAAAGGGATGGCCTCCTAGTTCCTGCTTTGTCAGTGCTTGTGTGCTCTCCTGGAAAGGGGGTGCTCCCAGGGACACAGTGGCATGAGCACCTCCTAGCCAGGATCTTTGCTGGGGTTTCTGAGTCTTTCACTGCTCCAAACCCACTGCTGAGCCAGAGACTCAGGACTCTTTTTTTTTTCCTTCTATAGACTCTGGCACATGGTAAAAAGACTGTTTCTTCTTTTTCCATCATGTGCTGATTCCTCCAATGTGTTAAAATAGGACTTCAGTCTAAGCCAAGGTACACATCCCATCGTCCTGAGTCTCCCTAGCATGTACTGGCTGTGGGTGAGCTTTAAAGGTTTCCTTAGAAACCTAGGGGACTGGTGACAGAAGACAAGAAAGAGCTGAAGGCCTGGCACAGGGATCGTGACTCTCAAGAGGGATGCCTAATGCTCACCATCCCACAACCAGTTGCTGAGCTGGTGGTAATTCACGGCAATCCCATGTGAAGAACTGCATTACAGGGTTTTCAATGGCTGTGATCTTTCAGAAGTAGACCGCTAGGCCTTTCTTCTGAGGCACTTCTGGGTGAACACGAACCACCAACCTTTTGGTTAGTAGCTGAGTGCTGAAACGTCTGTGCCACCCAGGGGCTTTCTCAGTATCCCGTGGCAGGGTCCCATGTTTCCCAGTTAAGAGGCAGCTTCCCTTTTATGCCAGTTAGGGATGTCTGTCACTAGGGACCTGAGGATGGAGTCTGCAATCCAAATAGAGGATGATGTTTACCTTTCCCAACTTATCAAACTCCAAAACCCCCAAGCCATTTCTTGTTCTCCAGGAGTCCACAATCTTCTCCACCTACAATCTTCACAGCTTTCTTAACACAAAGATAAAGGCTCAAGGGCCTCCTTCTGGGTTCAAAGGAAGCGTCTTTTCTTCTCCCTGCTTTGATTGAAGCACAGTTCACTGCCTAACCACCAACCACACAGTCTTGCAAAGGAATCTGCACTAGCCAGCAGCTCTTTCTCTAGCTATCAAAGGGAGCTTTAGCTTCCTGGGTCTTTAAGACATTAAACTCAGATGCCCAAGCTCAGGGAAAGGAGAAAGAAAAATGGCAGATGGGAGAAGGGATTGGCTTTGATGTGGAAGGTTCTACCCCACGATCCAATTCTGCTTCTGGCCCTCTGAGTCTCTTGTGGAAAGCTGGACTGGTTTCTTGGTATGGGTAGATGTTGCCCCACTTAGAAAAGTCTAAATGTAAAAGGGGATAGAGTCCTGCTTGACTTTTCTGCAACATGAACTGAAGGAGCTAGAGGGACCTGTGAGTCCTTGTAAGTTACCATCCACTGTACACTGCCTAGAACATGGATCTGGGGGAACCAGGGCATGGGGGAAGGGGCTGTTCTGGGCAGTAGGAGTGCCGGTGGGCGTGGACTTACCCCTGCCAGTTCTCGCGGCAAAGGAAGAAGCTGGGCTTCAGCAGGGGGATGCGGAGGTGCGCTGGCTGGAGCACTAGCGGGGGCGGGAGGCGCTAGGGCATGCTCACCCGCTGACTCGGGGTGACCCAGGCCATGGTGGGGGGCCTCAGCCTCCCCCCGAGGCTCCTCTCCCGAATCCGACAAGTCTTTTTGCTCTGCAGAGGACTGGGAGCAAAAAAGACAATTTTCCTTCAATGTAAAGGCGGTGACATGGGGCAGGGGTCACCAGCTGGAGGCAGCTCAACCTCCATCAGCACCTCCCCAGGAACCATGCAGGTGCTGCCCAGGAGGATGAGGCCCAAATGCAGGCATGTGCCAATGTGTTCCGGTCAATCCAAATAGCCTTCCAGACTGACAGAAGGGACGATGAATGTGGACTTGGGGCTGTGACTTTGCAAGCTCTGTGGTGTACAGGAAGCCCAGACCCTCATTTTCAAAACTGCAAGATGGTCCTGTGTGGCATTAACATGGTCATGGGCCACGAGGTACGAAAATCCACCCTGGTGACCAGAATGGTGGCAGTGCCTTTACCAGAGACGGGAGAAGCCTTGAGGCAAAAACCATGTTTTCTCAAAGGGAAAGGGGAGCTAGTGGGGAACTGGCCCTCAGCATTACTACTATCCACTAGGAAAGGGGGTAGGTGGACCACCTAGGCTCCTAGGCTGCCCCTCTCATTCGAGCTCTTTTGCATCTGTAACTTTGCTCTTCTTCCACCCAAGAGGAAGAAAAAGTGCCCTGACCCTCTGGGTGCAGGTGTGAGATGCCTGAGGCTGACAGGGTGGGGGTGGGTATTTATATCAGAGGGCAGGTGGGCGGCAAGAGGGAGCCAGCAGGTCCACGGGGCCCAGCTAGGATTCTAAGATTGTCCCAGTCTCACCCTGGACATTTCAGGCAAGGGTTTATTTGAAAAACAGCAGAAGAAAAGGAAGCTGGTTCCAGAAGTCTTCATTCTGAAAGCAAAATACCCCCAGCATCCTTCTAGTTGGTGCTCTGGATTCCAGAGGGGTTCTTTGGCCTGCAAGCTCTGTGGCAAGAACTCTAAGAATTTTCTTTTGAGAAATGGGTTCTAAATCTGCTGTCCTCCAGTTCCCAAATCTACTGCTTAGCATGTTTACTTTGTGACCTAAGTGACTACAGGGTACCTGTGACCCTGTGTCCCTTCAGAGTGTGACTTGATGTTACTTTGTAACGTGTGACCCCGGGTGATGAAAGGAACTAAATAAACTGCCTAAAGAAGGTTTTAATAGAACTTTCAAAACTTTCAGGAGAGCAAAAGCTGCCCAATGTTCCACACATGTAGAGAGTCATCAATGCTCTTGGGATGGGGGAGACCATGGGTACCAAGGCCTCTGCAGGCCACCTGCTCCCAACACCTGCTGATCCGCCACGCGAGACAGGTGATGACGTGTTCAAGAAAAAATTCAAGCTGGAGTGGAGAGCTGGGTGCATACCAGTCTCTAATTAGAACCACCTGGATTTCTCTCCCATGCCCTTGTGAAAGCCTGAGTCAGACGACCAAACAGAAATTTATAAAGATGAAAATCCAGGAACCAAAACAAATTGAGCTTTTTATCTTCAGTTAAAGCCAACAACTCCTGCCAATGTTGAGAAAGGCTGCACCTCCACTTTGTTTTTGGAAAATCAATAAATGCTGTCCTAGCATTTTCTACCTGGGTCCAAGGGTTTCTCCGGGCGAGAAAAGTATACTCTACAGAACCAACATAGAGCCTGCAGCTTTTCAACATGTTTGTTAAAATCAGACATCAAGAATCTGCCAGCCTCTAACCCCACCCTAAAATATGCACACAGGATAAGCTTGTTATCCCAAAGCAAGCTTCCAAACGAGGTGTACACATATGGGTGACGGTGTTTTCATTGACACAGGAGTTCTGTGGCACTTCCACAACCGCCTCCTGTCTTTTTCCCAATGGGCTTGTCCTGCTGGCGCAAACCTCAAAGCTTTCCATCCTCACTTAAAAAATGCTCTGAATTAAAGTGGCTAAAAAAACATTAGTCACGATACACACATTGAAACAACCAACATGAGAACACTGAAATCTCTTCACATTGAAAATAAGAGAGAAAAAACTGTCTCCATTTAAGACAGGTAAGGGAAAAAAAGTTTATTTTTGCTGCTGACTCCCAGCTGCATTTGGATGCGGGCATTGGAGGCCGAGTTGACCCAGGAAGCAATGGGAACAAAGAGAAGTAAAATGTCTCGGGCTGTCAATTTGGCCCTGGCTTTGTTTTAGGCACCTGAACTGGAGGCAAGACTGTTGTTAGAGGCAGTGAGTTGATTCTGACTCATGGCCACTCCACACGATAGAGCACAACTGCCCCACAGGGTTTTCCAGGCTGTAATCATTATGGGAAGAGATCAACAGGTCTTTCTCCCAGTATGGGTGGGTTTGAACCACTGACAAGTTGGTTAGTGGTCAAGTGCTTAACTACTGCAGCACCAGCCTGCCACCTGCTTCTTCTAATATGCTTCTTCCTTGTCAGGAGGACGCGACAAGCTTTTGTGAGGCTTAGCGATGCCCTAGCCCTCCAGAGGCAGGCAGCCCCAATCTATGCTTTGCTGCAAATGCAGCTGGGACCTGTCACCCAGGACCTGGAAAACACCTTGTGGTTTTGCTGCTGAACAAAACCCAACAGCTCCTGGGTGGCAGCTACGTTTTTGTTTTTCCACTTCTAGTTCTGTGTCTCTCAATCCTGTTTTGGTAATAAAAGAAAGGCTCACTGCTGTACAGAATTTGTTGTTAGTCTCATAAAACACCTGGGATGTGGGGCTTTGCCTTTGGAAGGGGGAAACAGGCTCAAGTGCACATGGGGTGGTCTGAGATCAGTTTTTGAAAGTCAGTGTAATTGATCCCACAGCTGACAGCCACTCTGTGCGTGAAGACATTGCTCTAAGAATTACTCTGAAGGGCATTTCAGGGACAACTGGGAAAACCTAACTATTGACTATATAACGATGACATCACTGAATTCATGATCATGACAATGGTATTGGACTCATGGGGGGGAATCAGCCTACCTCTAGATGATACCTGCTGAGTATTTAGGGCTGAAATGTCAGATGGCCGTAACTTATGTCAAAGCCTTCAGCATTTATGACAAAATGTCAATAATCAGTGAAGTGAGGTCGAGGTGACACACTGGACTGTGCTTTTAAGTGTCTTAAGGACTTGAAAATTTCAAAGGAAAAGTTGAAAAAGAAAGCAGGGGGATTTGCTCAGAACACACAATTCAGTGGGAACAGCCCTTCCCCAACGGGCTGCTGTGGGCCAGGGTGGGATAGGGTGGGGTGGGAGGAAATGGGAAGGGTCTCAAGTCTTATATCCTACAGAAATATGGTGGCTGCTCCTTAGAGAAACAGAAGTAGAGGTCTGCCCAACGATGCTGACTTTCCAACTTTTTCCTAAAGGGTCAGCAGCTGCACAGTAAGAGCCTCTACTGGCTGGGACACCCCCTAAAGTGCTAACTTCAAAGGGGCTCTGGCTCCACAAGAAAACGACCTGGTGATCTGCTTGATCAAGATTAAAACCCAACCCACTGCAATCGAGTTGATTCCAACTCATAGCAACCCCATGGGGCAGAGTAAAACTGTGCCATATGGTTTCTGAGGCTGTGATCCTGATGGGAGATCGCCAGGTCTGTCTCCCACTGAGCCGCTGGGTGGGTTGGAAATGCCAGTCTTCCAATGAGCAGCCAAGAGCTTAACCACTGTGTCACCAGGCCTCCTCAGTAGAATATTACACAGCCACAAAAAAGAGCAAGCCAAGTAACAAGAGCAACACATAACATCACGTTGTGAAGGAAGCCAGACCCACACGAGAAGCATCTATGTTTATAGGAAGTTCAACAACCAGCAAAACGAACCTGTGGGGACAGAACTCACAACAGCGGCTCCCCGTGGGGGGAACGCTGCCTGGGAGCGCCATGAAGGAACTTTCCACGATCTCCATATGTGTGGGGGGTGCATAAACACACAGAAACATCCATGCAGCTATGCACTCAGATTGCCGCTTTGCAGTCTGGAAGTTGCTGCTGACACGTCTTTCAGCTCAGGGATTCTTTCCTCACCAGCCTTCATTTCCATGGCAGTGATCTGATTTCTCCCATGTCCTTCTGATCTTTCACGGAGTTTCTTCCATCTCCCCGAGTAGATGACATGTCCCTATTGTCTACTTTTGGCATTTGAGCCCCTAGTATATCCATCCTAACCCAAAAAGCCAAACCTCTAGCCTTTGAAGTAACCCAAAGACCAAATCCACTTACGTGGAGTCAGTTCCGACTCACAGCACCCAAAGAGGACAGAGTGGAACTGACCCACAGAGCTCCCAAGGCTGTCAATCTTCACAGAAGCAAAGCTCAAAGCAAACTCACTGTTACTGAGCTGATTCTAACTCACAGAGCCCCTGCAGGACAGAAAAGAACTGCCCTATACAGTTACCAAAGCAGTAAATCTTTATAAAAGCAGACTGCCTTATCTTTCTCCCAGGGAGCAGATAGTGGGTTCAAACCACTGACCTTTTTTTAGTAGACGGACACTTAACCACTGTGCAACCAGGGCTGCCATAAAGATTACATCCTAGAAAACCCTATGGGGGCAATTCTACTCTTTAATCCAGGGTTGCCATGAGTCAAAAATCAAGGCACCTAACAACAGCCCACCTGCGAGCTAAGGAATGGGCCCTAAACTCTAACCTCAGCTCCTCTTGCTTCTCTGCCTAAACAAAAGGACATGTTCTGCCCCCGCCCCCCCCCCTCAATGATCTTATGACATAGTGGGACAGAAGTGGAGAGCTAAACTCCAATCCAGCTTGGTTATTTTTAGAATCTCATTTATTGCTGACTCTGAGTCAATATTTTGATAAGAGCTGTCGTTTTGATAAGAACTTGTGCATTTTCTAAATGCCGATGAAAGCCTTCCTAGCTGGTCCTACTTTTCCATTTCATCCTAGGTTCAGTGATCTGCACACATTAAGTGCCTCCCATCACAAAGCAACAGAACCACCTCACCTGAAAAAACAGTATGTACTAGGATTAGTAGTTTTACAAACATTTTAAATTAACGTGTGTTCTGGTTACCTATTCTGACAAGAATATACCACAAATGGGATGGCCTTAACAAATATAAGGAGTTTATTTTCTTACAGTGTGGAGGCTTTAAGTCCAAGTTCAAAGTGCCAGGCTCTAGGGGCTGGGTGAAAGCCCCTCAACCTTGGGGTCCAGCTCTGCCTTCTGCTCCTGGCCCACTGGAGCTAGAGGCTTTTCTTCACTCAGACAGCTGCTGGCTGCTGAGGCTGACAAAGCCAAGGTTGGCAAGTAAAAAGGCACAGTCCCGATGTTACCAAACCACACGGCAGGCCATTAGTTCAAGTCCATTGTAAGTCCCAAGGTTGGCAAGGCATGGCAGGCTGCTGAACAATGACACAGCTACATGCAGGGTCCTAGCATGCCATAAGCTAGAGACCATTCCCCAAGGCTTCTGCTTACACACAGGAAGCAGACCACATACACTAAGGCAGCTACTCAGCTGCTCACAATAGATTCCACCATGGAGTTGATTACCAGTCTCATGGGGAATACTACATCTAGCTGCCCAACCATTCAACCAGGCCCAGCCAAGTTGACACACAAACTGAACTACCACAAAGTGATCAAAATTTTACATTCTACTGCTGCATCCTGCTGGTTTTCCTAAAGTCTACAGAACTATTAACTCCTATTTACTGTCATCACATTGAATCGGAGATGCACAAGCCTTTTCCTGTAAAGGGCTGTGACTTTGCAGGTCATGTGGTCTCTGCTGAAACAAGCCCACTCTGGTGCTGTAGCTTGAAAGCAGCCACAGATGATAAAGGATGAATGGGAGTGGCTGTGTGCCAATAAAACTTTATTTACAAAAACAGGCCGTGGCAGCAGGCCTTAGCTTGCTGACCCGAATCTGAATCTAAATGTTGTTCAAAAGGTGATTACTGTAAAATGCAAAATTCTAGACAATTCAGATTTTACTGAAAATCTGAAGAAAATCTTAACACCTAAAACAGAACCTAACACACCTGACACCTAATACTCAAATATTCCATTTCTAAAAATTAGAGGAAATGCCATCAGCCCCTTCCTATTTGAACCTCCAAAGGAGACATTACAAAAACACCTGTAAGCGAGCTGTATAGATCAGGGCCCAAAGGAGAGGAAACAGCAGTGGTCAATGGACCCATCTTCCTTCTGGAAGCGAGGCAGATCTTGGAAACATGACCGTGCTGACCAAGTAAAACTGGAAGAAAGTGTGCACAGGCTTAGTGTCTCTTCAGCGAAAGAAACAACAGTGGGAAGTGTCAGAATATGACTAAAGAATGACAATTCCAAGCCCAGTGAACAGGGCTGAGCTGACACAGAAGGTACCCAGCCTGGGGTGGGGGTTCCCTTCACAGCAGACCATCTCCCATACCCACATACTCTCCCTGGCAGAACCCTTAAATCTTGCCCAGCAAAACTGGGCCACATGAGCTTTGGTCTCTCGTCTCAGAATGAGGGACAGGATCTAGCAGACCTGCAGTTCCCCACAAGATGCCTGCAAACTGCTGTTGAGTCCCAGCACTGGGCTGCTGAGGTTCTCAGATACTTTCATTACCAACAAGATGCTAACCCAATAGCAGAGTTCAGCGCAGCCTTTTTGTCACAAGACTTTACAAGAGATATTAAATGACAACCAGTGCCATAGGGTTTCTACACAAGCCAAGGAAGTCTCCATCTGGAAGTGTGGGTCACTGCTCCAGCACGTTAATTCATTTCTGACACCACCCTGACCCACCACTTGGACTCATCAGGCATGGGTATGAAACTGGTGCCTCCCAGGCAAACCACCTCTCCCACTGCCATTATCACGATCATTTGTGCTGTCAGCAGATCTTCCTGCTGCTCTCCCCACCAGGCCTGTGACAGGCTGCGAGTTCATCACTAGCAATCAGAAGGAACATTTCCAATAGCTGAGCAACCTGCATACACGTCCTATTTCAGTGGAGGACCCAATCCAGCAAAGATGGGGGGACAGACAGATGACACAGGCGAACTCATCACAATTCTCCATGAGTCTGTGCCAAGTGGATCCGGGCAGAACACTCCCTAAAAGAGGTCCTGCTCCACCTCCCTTTACAGCTGCTGCTCTCCCTCCCTCCCTCTTTTCCCCTGCCTCCCTCTCTCTGCTGCCAGGTTCCCCATTGCACAGTGGCATTTCTGAAACGAGCCAGGAGGAACCAGGTCAAAGTTTCTGACACTCCAACATCTGTGCTCTACAGCCTTTCCCCACCAGACCAAGCTGCACCTCTCCCCTGGGAGACCAGGGCCAAAGGACTCCTCCCCCAAGCTGCATGGGAAGGCTCCACGGCCCTGCTCAGTCTCCCCTCTGCCAGAGCACAAACTGGAGGAAGGATGAGGGAGCATACGGACCCCTTACCTTTTGTCCTTTATCCTTCTGAAACACAAAGACGGGAGGAGCAATGGCAGGCTTTTCTGAAAAAAGAAAAATGTTTTTTTTTTTCCCCCCAACACTGCAGTCATACAGTAAACAAAGCTACATTCTTTTAAAAGAAGTTTAACAAAAAACACATTAACTCCAAATCACACAAAATAGTTTCTTGACCTGGGCATTAGACAGAGGGCTGACCAGTTTGTGACTACTTAACATGTAATGAGACATGCTCTTTCCTGGATGTGTATTATGTCAATAACAAAGTTTTAAAACCCATGGAGAACAGGGGGGTGGGGATGAGTGTGGGAGCACGGGGGCGGCAGGGGGTGGGGGGGACGTAGCAGGTTGGACAGTATCCGGGCAGCCACTATGCAGCACCCTCACCCCGGGGCCTCGCAAGAACATGGCTCAGAGATGCCCAGTCTTCATGAGGTATCACCCGATTTTCAAGTGTTAGAGATTAGTCTTTTTTTTTAAATTTGTAGACCAGATAAGGTCAGCAGGTGGCCAGTTTGCCTGAGCATGTCACACATGCTCTTTGCAGAGCTGACCCCTGCAGAGTGATCCCAACATTCAAGTTGGATCTGAATGCGATCACAAGAGTCCATTCTGAACAGCTACTGTTGAAGGAGACACTTTGGGATGCTTGGTCAAGTGACAGGGCTAGGGTGGTTGGTGCCTGCGGTTCCCAAGACTGCCCTGGTTTCCTATCCAGAGACAGCCAGACCCACAGCCCTCTAGCCCAGCCCAGCCGGGTCCTCTGGAGTGGCTCAAACACACGGGGAGGCCCAGGTTTCCCCTGCTTCACTTCCTCGGTAGGGAGGTGGGGGGCTCTGCCTGTGCTGTGTTGAGTCTGTGGGTGTTCCAGGCCTGCTCTGGCAGGAAGGCCCTGGGGCAGGGGAGCAGATGCGGAACCAGAGAGATTATGAGTTGGTTGAGTACTCGCTTTGTGGTGACTCAGGGTGAGCAGAGTTCAGGCCCAGCCCTGCTCTGGAGTTGGGGGATGCCCCAGTGAAGGATGGGGTACTAAGCCAAGAGCCAGGCACTGCCATAGCATCATCACCCAGAGATAAATGCTACGTGGGAGGGAACACAATTTGCAAAGACACACGGTGTAGGGGACTGGCTGGGTCTGGTCTGGCTTTCCAAGAAAAGAGGACTGTGCAGAAGTGTCCAGGAAAAGACCCCAGCAGCGGGCATGGCAGGTGGGAAGGCAGTGCTCTCCAGGGGGATGGGGGTAATGGGACTGGTGACAGAGTGGGGCTGTGGTAAGGATCTGGGCAAACATTGTCAGAGGAATGGGCATTTTAGGTTTAAATTGAGATGAGATGAGGGGGTGTGAGGGAAGACGTGGGGGAGATTAGTTAGGAGTGCCTGCCATCACCCTGACAGAAAAGATGGGGCTGGGAGGAGGTTAGAAGAGAGAAAGGGCCAGGACCAAGATGATCCAAGGGACACAATCCCTACTTCCCAGACCCCCAAAGCCATTCCTGGAGAAACAGGACAGAGCTGCTCCAGGTCGGTCTGTCCTCACGCAGCCAGTGCCGTGGGGGCCATTTCTTCCACCAGATCTCCTGAAGCCTCGCCATACTCATGTCCGAGCCACCCCAACAGCCCTCCCAGAGCCTGGCCCAGAGGGACTGCTGGAGGTAGCAACATGGATGAAACCGAAGAGCTACAAGGGAGGTAGGTTGTCCTCTTCTGATGACGCTTCCTCACCTTCCCTGTGTCATCATCTCCCTGGCATAGGGCACAGCAGCTGTTCAACAAACTCAAGTGAATGAATATGCGAGACAATAAATGACATCAAAGGAATGCTGGAGGGGTTTGGGGGTGAGCACCAGCTTACCCATACCACATCCACTCCAGGAATCCTACAGACATTTTGGCACTGCCCCTGGCCCACAAGCCTAGTCCAAGCTCTCATTTCTGTCCCCAACTCCCTGACAGCTACAAGAGGCCAAGACAGCCAGTAAGGATCCAGGGTTTGGGACAGCCTAACAGCCACCAACCCATATGCCCCATGAGGTCCAAATGGAGCCAAGCTCAGCCCTGGTGACTGGGGAGTCCTGGAACATGACCTTGGCAATGAGAGGACTGAGATTTGAATCCAAGACTTTATTGGAGCTCTTGGGAATGTTTGCTGGGGTGATGGCACGTAGACTTGGAGCTATGAGTAGCTACCAGTCACCATAAGGGCCTGAATGCAGGGATGCAATGAATCTTGGTGACACAGCTTGAGGTCCTGGGTCGACTCCAAACTAACCATTTTCACACATAAATACTTTTTCCTGAAGCTAATCTGAGCTAGATTTCCCCCACTTATCATGAATAGACTCAGTCAGGGAGAGGCTGTCCTGGGGCGGAGAGACCACAGTGAAACACACTCTACTGACACCCTCTGACCAACAGTCCCCACCAGCCTCACAGGGACGCCAAAAGGCTTTGTTTTCTTCCACAGCAGGGGCCGCCCTTGTACACCTTATGAAGCTTTAGGTTTATGGTCTGCCTCTTCCTCTCATCTCCTTTTCTATAGGAGCTCTGGTGGTGCTGTGGTTAAGACACTGGGCTGCGAACCCACCAGCCACTCCAACGTAGAAAGATGAGGCAGTTTGTTTATGTAGATTACAGCCTTGGAAACCCTAGGGGTGGGTGTTGCTACGAGTTGGGAGCAACTTGACGTCAGAGGGTTTGGTTTGGGTTGGGTTCTCCTGCCCTAGAATCCCGTGAGATCAGGGAATCTGCTTTGTACCCCTCTGTGTCCCATGTGTCAGATTCCGTGTGGGTGTCCCGTGAGCCAAGGACAGTACCTGGCACATTGAAGGGCGCACCAATCATGGGATGAAGGCAGGAGTGAGCGGGGATATCAGAGAAAATGAATGCATGGCAAAGATGGTGCCAGGAGGTGGGGCTCACATGGCAGGGATGGTGGGGTGCTGGGGAGGACCCAGCAGAAGAGAGGGGTAACACCATACAGCACTAAGAAAAGAGGGAGGGTCAACAGGGGTCTGAGCTCTGAAAGCAGCCACCTGAAAGAACAGGACGGCCAGGGTGAGATCCAATTAGACCCTCCCTAAATAACTGCACCTTCTTGTCCTCATACCCAACTCTGCCACCACTGCCATAGCTAGACCATGCAGGTCTCACCTCTTACAACTGGCCTCACAGAGCAGCCCGACATCACCCTCAAAACTCTGCAGTGTCTCTTTCTCCCTGGCCTAGGCTCCCAGCTCTTGTGAAGAGGCAACCTCCTGTCGCCCTCCCTCCATTTCACACCTGACTATCATGACATGATGAGTCTGCACGCTCCATGCTCATGTCCTTCCCATCTGGATGCCAGCTTGTACTAGCCCTTCAACCAAGAACATTATTCTACACATACACAAAAATCGCCACTGTCATCAAGTCATCCTTACTCATTGATGACCCCATGTGGTACAGAGTAGAACTGCTCCGTAAGGTTTTCTTGGCTGCAATCGCTACAGAAAGGAACCATTAGTGGGCACCATGGTTGAGTTCTCGGCTGCAAACCAAAAGTTTGGTGGTGCAAACCCACCAGCAGTTCTATGGGAGAAAAGACCTGGCAATCTCCTGTAAAGATCACAGCCCAGGAAAACCCTACGGGGCAGCTCTATTCTCATACAGTGTTGCTGTGAGTCTCAGTCAACTTGATGGTACACAACAACAATCTTGGCAGAAACAGGCCTTTCTTCTGCAGTGCCAGTGAGTGGGTTCAAACTGGCTACCTTCACAGGTTCAGAGTCAAGTGCAAACCATTTGTGCCACTAGACCTGCCTTTCCTACAGCCCTTCTTGTATTCATTGCCACTGAGTTGATTATGACTTGCAGCGACCCTGTAGGACAGAGCAGAACTGCCCCACAGGTTTTCTAAGCTGTAATCTTAATGGAAGCAGACTGTCACATCCTTTTCCCGTGTAGCAGCAGCTGGTGTGTTTGAACCATCGCTCTTTCAGTTTGCAGCCAATCGCTCAACCACTGCAGCAGCGCCACCAGGGTTCCTTGCCTTGCCAATAGACATGTATTTCCGTGGAGACACCAATCCTTCTGGAAGCTCCCAGTTGACCCCTGTGCTCCCTGAGCCTGCTTCCAGCTTATACTCTTATCACCCAACAGTCACACCAAGGCCACCTGTCGGGGCGCCAGAGAGCCCACAGACACAGCATCTGCCTCTAGGACATGCCACGGCGTGCTCTGCCCAAAAACCATTCCATGAATGTCTGAACTAATACCCCACCTCCATCCAGCTCCACGGATATTAACATCAGCTGCTGCATAATCACATAAATATTTATTTAGCCCTTGTTCTGGGCAAAGCACCATGGGAAAAATGGAGCAGAAAGCTGAAGGAGAGGGGCATGTGCGCTGGTGTCTGGTGGCATGGGGATGCGGAGCCGCAGCATACAGAAGGGCTTAGTCATCTGCTTTTTGACAGCATCTACTGCTAGAATGTAAATGCCACAGAGCAGGGACTTGGTCTGCTGGACTCTGCTACATCCTCTAGACCAAACTCAGAGCCTCTTAGGCAATAGGTGCCCAACAAGCAGCAGCAGAATAACGCAGTGGGACATAGCACCAAGACGAGGAGCACCCCGTGAGACATTGCCTTGGTAGACCATTGCAGATCCCAGGGACCCTGCCATGGCCCACTTGGCATTCATGTGAAATCCAACCACTGCACTAACCAAAATGTAAAATTCAACTCTAGTTGCATCCCAGCCACACACACTTCACTTCCATTCCATTCCAGCAGGGCCAGGATTGATGCTACAAACTGCCAACACACAGACCTTATTCCAAGTAGGACTCCCTCAAGCTTTCCACAGTAGCCACAGATGTCTTTTTTTTAACCAAACTCTCTGACCAAACTGCTTCTGGTTATGTCACTGGGCAAGCTGCATTATTAGCTCAGTGACCTGAGACCCAAGACTAGGGCACAGGCAGGGGGCCTGAGGAGCAGGAAGCAATGAGGCTTCTAGAACTTTCTTTAATTCCCAACCCAGTTTTTCTTTCACAAGTGAAG